CACCCGAAGATAAACGGAGAAGGGAATCGCGAGATGACGGAGGCGAGGGGGAGGGGGCGGGAAGGGGGCGCGAGGAGAGGAGGAGGGGGTTGGTTTGTGACGGTCGACGGTAATGCGCACGTGGAGAGGCACGTAAGGAGAAGGAGGCGCGGAGGAAGGGTTCGGGGGAAGCACGGGGGGCGCGGCGGGGGGCGGAGGGGACGACGGGGGTTGCGTTTGGTCCGGGAGCTCACCGGGGGATGCTGTATTGATCGCGCGAGCGAGCGGGCTAAAGTAAGCCGAGGCTGGCTGGCACGGAGGGTTGCCTTGGCAACCCTCGTCGTCCCTCATCCCTCAGGAGTCCGGCCGCCCGTCGGTCGGCCCGAAAACCACCCCCGAACGCCAACCACAATTCTCTCCATCTCTCTCTGTATGTATATATCTCCCTCTCCGTCTCTCCTTCTCTCCTTCTCTATCACCGGCCTCGCGATCTATACGGAACGGCACGACCGATAGATATGCGTACGTGCGAGATCTTTTCCTCTCCCCCCCCCCCCTCCGGCGATCTGCCTTCCCCTCGCTGGTCTCTGTGCGCCTTTCGTTTCGGAAATAATTGGGACAGGGCCCTGTTTCCTGATAACGTTGTCGGAGGGTTGACGATGGTCGCGATTTAACCCTTTCAGGGCGAATCTTCCTCGTCTACTTGAGATTTGTGGGACGAGTGCGCAACGTACTGTGGGACAAAGCAATGTTGATGAAAAAAGACAACTGGGACGGATACTGTTTTCTGACAATGTCGTCCAAAGTGATGACAGTGGTGTTCAGTTGTAGCAGGCTAAATTGTTGAGGCTACGAATTGATGGAGGAGATAGACGCTAATATGTAAAATTAACACGATACTGGATACGTTCTTAATAATATTACGCACGATAATAGTGGCATTCAACCATTTCGAGATCGATTCTTCGAGCGTTGCTTGCAGAGTTTGTCAAAATACACAGCTAACGTATTGATAAAGTGAAACCATCGCAGTTTTACCTCTTACTATTAATGTGGTTAAATATAGAAAACTATGTAACAACTGTAAGATAATGTATTATCAAGGAAACATTATCGTAGAAAGAATTGAGGGACCCGATATATCAATTCACGTATGTTGTAACTTTAGACGATTACTAAGAAAAAAAGTGTTTAAAGAGTAAACAAGAATATACTCGCAATTAATTGTACTATTTTAAACTTCCCTATTAATGTCTTTGGACGTGCCGGCGTGATTAATCTTGCGTAAGGGTACGGACGAATTCGCAATTATTTTCGAAACCTCGGGATATTTCTCGGTGCGAGGGAAACGATAAATCTTCAGGCGCAATGGCTTGCCGTACGACCCAGAAAGATTTCGCGCGTACCTTGCGAGCGAACGAGCGAAGCAACATCGACGCGTACCTCAATAATTCAACTTTTTCATTCTCAAGCCGCTTACGAATGGAAATCTAAATGCTTTTCGGTTATTTTTAAACCCCCGCGCTAAGTTAGTCATTACACTTCTTTAAGTATCCGCTTTTAACATTTTTCATTATGTATCCTTATAAAGTCCATTTTCATTCGCGTTGATTCGATGCTTATTGAACTTATTCAAGCCAGTGTAAAAAAAACTCAGTTGTCCAGTTCACTTTTGAAAGCGACAGATGTTCCATCCGTTTCTTAAAATATTAAACAACACAAGCGCGCGCTACTTGCTCTATCTAAAAATTCGCATGGTTTTTTAACAGCAGCAAATGACACGACTGAAGCATGTCGTGTCGCACAAGCGAGACAGCCAATCAGCATCCCGGAAAAGCGACAATAATACTTCGAGACTTTCGACTGTCGACTTAACACGCATTTTTTATATAGGAGGAGGAGGAGGGGGAGGAGGATAGAATAAGACACGTTCATAGACAGTTTCTTCGATGACAAATAATGTCACGAGAGAATTTATACAATTTAATAGTGCGGATATATTTCTAACACGAGACTTATCCAGGGTTTATTTCATATTTCTATTGACGCGTCTCTCACACAAGTCTAGAAATATTTTTGGTACACGTTAATATATAGAGAAAAGTCCTCTGTTATTAACAGGTTTTCAATGTCCAAATTCAATCATAAATCTTTTTTCGCAACGATTACATGATCTAACTATCGATTTTTCTCTGGACAGATTTCACTCTAAAGCACTGACAAATAATTTTTTTAAACTAAGTTAATAGCTTTAGTTAAAATTTTTTTACTAAAGTAAATATTTATTCCATTTTAATAAAAATATCAAATTTCAAGTAAATCTGTGTATTATATTAAGTAAATTAATTTAAATCATTACATTTTCTACATTCAACTAAAGATTTCATGAGATAGACAATACTATTTATTAAATGAAATCATTGTTTTTGTCAAATAAGAAATTCACTTTTCTTCGCTGTAAAACTTATATTTTAGTAAACATTTTATAGAATTATAGTACAATTTTTTAAATTTAAAAGTATCTACTGTTAGATATTTAATAAATACTTAAATTTAAAAATTTTAATTTTAATTGTATAAAATGTTTACTACAATGTAATTTTTACAGCGAAGAAAATTTGATTTCTCATTTAACAAAAACAATTATTTTATTTAATAAATAGTATTCTATATCTCATGAAATCTCTATTTGAATGTAGAAAATGTAATGACTTAAATTAATTTACTTAATATAATATATAGATTTACGTGAAATTTGCTATTTCTATTTAAATAGAATAAACATTTACTTCCGTAAAAAAGAATAATTTTAAGTAAATCCATTTACTTAGTTAAAAAAATTTTTTTGCCAGTGTAATGAACAGTAAGGGCGACCCAATTGCAGTATGCCGTAGCGAGAGAAGCCTCCGGTTTAGGTGAAATGCATTGCGGCAATCTATTTCGGACGCGTTCCCGGAAATTTATAATATTTCGCGCATAAAGCGTCCGCTAGTCACCTCCAAATACTCGCGCCAGCATCAATTATCCTCCCCGGCCGCGAAATAAAGTGCGCGTGCAAACAACAACCCCGTTTAACCCCTTTCGATTAATTTAAGCGATGCCGAAGTCGCGGGCGTCTCAGCCGCGGGCCCCGCGACCCCGGGCTCTCCGCCGGCGCGGAATTTTATTACATCGCGTTGTGTTTACGGTAAACGCGCGCGAACACACCCCGCGTACGCACGTACGCCCACACGCACGCACACACGCACACCCCGACGCGAAAGTAAAACCTAACCGGGGGTCACCCGTTCGCTCGCGTTCGCGCGCCGCGGGCGAAGCGCAGGGGGCGAGGGGGTCCGCACGCAGAGGGGCGGACGGCCGTCGTCGCCGAATTGTCTCGGCGTCCCCGGCGACGCTCGCGGTGTTTTTCCGCGTGCTAACGCATGTCCGTTAATCGTATTCAACGGCGATGTATGTCGACGAACTGTAAACGCGACACACAGTAGATTCGGACGAAGAAACGGAGGAGAGGGAAATTTACGGGAAACTCGCGAGGGATCGACGTTAATTTCTTTGCGATAGCGAGTCTACGGGTGGCGAGAGGGTCGGAGGGGGGGGGGGGTGGCAGCGCGTGTTCTGTGTGACAATAGAGATGCACGGAGTTTGACATAACATTAAACATGTATATAGAGTTTCAGACAAACAGACGGAACAACCGTAATATAGTGTTGCAGAATATTAATATGTGAAATGTAATTGTTCCGACAAGAGCAGGTTTAATTCCGTATTTATATAATGTAATGAATACCGCTGCGCCTATCAATTATGTCAAATACATTTACAGGGACGTTCGGCTATAAGATACTGGCTGTAGCATTTATTTTGCCGCCCCGTAAGTAAACACCTGCAAATTGTTCAGATATGTAACAATTAATAATAATTTCAGGAATGGTCTCCCGAAAATCAGATGGCGAGTATGGAGTAACTTCTTTCCTGGATAAAAATACCATTTGGCATCTTCCCTTTCAATTGTTAACTGTCAGGCCGCGTTTCTTTCTTCGCTCTATTTCGCGGAAATACAGCGTAAGAGATATTTATACGCGTTTCTCATAAGTACGCGTCATCGTTGAAGATTAAAAGATGCGCACGGCTTCCCCTCGCGTAAAATATACATCCGGCAGCTAGCGACTTCTCTCGCTTCCCT